CAGTAATTGAAGGAATGCCTGCTTATTTTCATTGTCCCCGTTTATTTAAAGAAAATGAAGAAGAAAATAATTTAAAAGTTTTTTTCTTCTTCTGATATTTTAAAATTAATTTAGATAGCTTGGACAAGAATTAGAGATATGGCTTTACTTGCTGTTGGGGCTAGTAGTTTTACTGCTGATTTTAGATTTCAAGTATCCAAACCTCGTGACAAATATTCGGATTGGGTGCTGATTTTGAGAAGAACTGAGTTTGTACTTTATTTTTTTTGTTTGTAACCCCTCCCCTCCCTCCATTTTGTGGACCTGAAATATACAAAAAATCCTTATACATAAAGATAAGGTTGGTGTCCATCCATATTAAAGCTGGCGGATCATGACAAATTTCCGGATCCGAGAGTTCCGGATATCTTGACTTTTTTTGGATCTTGATTCGCAAACCCTAATTACATCCTTTTATATTTCTCGGCACAGTCCTTTCCCAATATGTATACTGAATAAAAAGTTTGTCATCTTTTTTGAAAATTAAATTATTTTTTGTTATTTTTCAGCATAACCCCCCAAATATTGGACACCGAAATTCTCTCTATAATATCACCCCTTCCCCTATCACTTCTCCTCTTACACCGGCAAAATTCCGCTTGAGAAGTGACGAAATAGGAGGAAGATTTTTAAATTAAATAATTAAAAAGATTATTTTTTAAAGATTAGATGATAGAGGTTGCTATATTTGTGGTATTTTCTTATTTAAAAATTAATTTAAATTAATTTAAAAAAGAAATAAATACAGAGCCAAGCAGTATTGTTATTCCGATATATTTAAAAGTTATTAAATTAGGTAAAATTTAATTTTAAAATTTAAAAAATATTTTTATTTTTTTAAAAAGGTGAAGAAAAAAGAATAGAAAAACAAAAATTAATTAAAAAACAAAATAAAGGTATGTATTTAATTAAATTTAAATAAAAATTAGTAGAGAGAGAGAGAAGAATTATTAGTTTTTCTTTAGAAAAAAATATTTTTAAAAAATCCAATAAAGATTTTCAAATAAAATTTAGAAATTAGACTTGAGGAAATGCGAGATTGTTATTTTGAAAATAAGGGGGTGGGGCTCTTGTCCAGATTACGCGTCCAATAAAAAGTTTATGCGTCCAAACAACTCTTTATGCGTCTAATCATATTTTTATTCAACTATAATAATAAATACCTGATTTTGTTGTTAGACTCTCTGGGCGAGTAGAGACGCAGATTAAACGCGTGAAAATTTGCTTGGACACATAAACTTTTGATTGGATTCGTAATCTGAACAGGGGCCGAATCTTAATTCTGATAATAGAGATTTTAAAATAAAATATTGTCTAAATAAATATTTTTGGTTAATTTATTATGATTATCTGGTAATATTTTAAAGAGGGGAGGGGGAGGGTGTTTAGACGGTAGTTTAGGGAGGAAAATAAAGTTAATATTCCTGATAGTTTATTTGGTTAACTTCCCCCCTCCTCCTCCTTAACGGTGGGGAGGTAACAAAAATACTTGTTAGGAAGTTTTATTTTGTATTTAGCGGCTAAACTTTTGATAATTCTTACAAAAAATTTTTTTTTTAATTTAAAAGAATACAAAGCAAAATTAGAATCAAGAATAGAAGGTTTTTATATTTAAATTTTAAAAATTATTTTTTTAATTAAAAAAAAAAGAAGGAACAATTTTATTATTAAATTGCACAATTGAAAGAATTAAAGAAAATAATAATGAAAATTATTTTAATTTAATTAACTCTACAGAAGAAGAAGAAAATTCTTCTTTTTTCTGGCCAAATATTGTTTGGAGTAAAGATGAAAAATTGTTGGAATTGGAGGAAAATGAAAATAAAAGTTATTTTAATTAATTAATTTGGAGGGGGGAGGGGAGGGTGACATTTTGTCCCATTTAAACTTAAATTTATGTTTAGTGTCTGCATTTAATTAGCGCAAACATTCCCAATCTAGGCCTCTTCGGTATGCCGGTTAAGGAGTTTGGGGATTTAGTAGAGAGCTCTTCCACTGCAACACCCAGAAAAAAACAAAAATTTCACCCCCAAAATTTAATTTAAAAATGGGGTCTATTTATGTACTAGTTATAATTAAAAATTTTAAATTTAAATTAAAAAAGAATATTCAACAAATATAAACTTTATCAACACTAACCACAATTCAGCAATATATACATTAAGAATTAAATATTTAAATTCAAAAGATAATGGAATATACAAATGTGAAGGTGACAGAATAATTAAATCAGAACAAATAATTTATTTGCCTTTATTAAATAATAATTCCTCTTTTAAAACAAAATTTAATTTTTATTTATTTTTATATTTATTTTTAATTTTATTTTTTAATTAAAAAAATATTTTTACATCCCTTTTTATTTTTGATTGCCAACTGGGTGGAGGAAGGAACTGAAGGTTTATTTAACACATACCTAACAATCCACTTTTGTACTTTTTTTAAACAGTTAGGAGGGGGGGGGGCTAAAATATTTTTTATAAAATAATTATAAATTCTGTGGAATTTTGGCTAAGAAATTCTAAAAAAAAAGTGAAAACAAATAGAAAATCCCCTCTAGGCATATCCACGCGTATTTAATTAATTAATATCTCCAAATGGGTCATTACATATTTTTTTATTATTAACCGGAGAGAAAATACTAAATAATTTTATGTAGAGGAGAGAACGCAACTGGAAAGCACAGCAAAAGAAAAATAGAAAGTTGTTGTCATTTTTTAAACAAAAAAATATTTTATTAATAAAAATTTATTTATTTTCATTAATTAATTAATTAAATATTTAAATGCCCTAACAATTAAAATAAAATATATTTATATGTTAGTTGTAACTTTGAAGAAAACTTTTTTCTAAAATTCTGGACATCCCTTCTGTATACTCATAAAATATTTTTGGGTTTCCCTTACTTTCCAAAATCTTCAAAATTCCTTAAATCTCCCTAGTAGAAACCTCCCTTTAATAGAAATTCATCCCGAAGAGAAGCTCATGCAAAGAGTTGAATTGAGGTTCAATGAGACCTATTAGAAAAAATAACCGCTCAGGGCCTTTATTCAACGAAATCTCGATATAACGACTCTTCCCGAAATCGAATTGAAGTCACGTTATATCGGGCGTCATTGTATATATTTAATTATAATTTTATTTTATTTTTTAGTTTAAATTAAGAAATGTATTATTTTCTTTTATTTATTTTTCAATTAATTATTTTAATACAAAAATCATCAACATTCGAATATATACCAGAAAATGATTTAGCTAAAAGTTTTTTTAAATTAAATAACCAATAATTTTTTTTCAAAGTTTGTAGACCAGTTAACAGGCCAATTGATTTGTTGGTAAATTTTATAAAAATTAATTATTAAATTTAAAATTAAAAAAAGTTTTTGTTGGACGGTTCTGGTTCTGTTGGAGGAAATACTTTCCAAACACAAATGGAAATTTTAGATAAATTAATTGATATTTTGGAGATTGGGCCGGGACAGAATCAATCACAATTGGCTGTTATGCAGTGAGATTTTTTTCTTTCAATTTTATTTTCTCTGTACCAAATAAGGATCGGAAATGACGAGTTTTATAGTTTAAAAACTCGAAAAGGTATGATCGAGTACTTGATTGGTTCTGGGAGATATATTAGAGATCCTTAGATCAAAAAATGGGTACAACCCAATCTACCACCGAGGCTGTAACTTCGTTCAAAATTGTCAAATCTGTGCAACTTGGTATGGTTGGATTTAGTTTGACAAGGCGCATCGAACCATACCAGGGCGCCCGGATTCGACAATTCTGAAAGATGTTATAGCCTCGACGGTAGGTTGGGCTCGCGGTAGGTTGGCCTGCTCCCACAAAAAATCGTAAGAATTTATTCTTTGTGTCTAATTATGTAATTACTCACTTGAGGATAATAAATATTTGTACATATATATTTATTTTTTAAAATCGTTTCACGTTGCTTTAGTATTCTCTTAAATTTTTAAAAATTTGATTTTTTTGTTTTAGAATTCAAATTTTTTTTAATTTATTTTTTATCCTTTAATTACTTATGTTAATTTAGATATGCCACCTACAGTTTTGTAGAATTTCCTTTCAGTGCCCACAGGGCAAGTTTTTATTTTTTTTAATTTAAATTTAATTTTCCAAAAAAAGAATAAAAGCCAATTACGCCAAGCTCTTCAAAGAATTAGACACAAATCGGGAACAACAAAAACTGGGAAAGCTTTGGAAAAAGCAATCCAATTATATAAAGACAAATCTTCTGGGGCACGTTTTGGTAATGTAGCTAAAGTTGTTGTTGTTGTTAGTGATGGAAGGAGTTTAGATGATCCCGTAATTATTTTCTTATATTAAATTAAAAAAAAGAGGGAACATTACATTTGGTTATACCTATGTAGATTTTGTTCAAGTATTTTTTTGGGGAGTGAATGAATGGTCCCGGATTGACAGGAACTGGGGGGGGGGGTTAACTAAAATTTAAGTTTTTAGTTTTCTGTTTTGTGGATCATTTAAATTTGTAGTTAAACTTTTCTTTTATGGCAAGGAAGCTATAGCCGAAGTTTATAAATATGTCTGTCCGTTTTAAGTTTCCGAATTCGAATCACTAATTTGACATTAAAGCTGGATCTAGAATGTTTAAATTTTTCGAGATTAATCCTGCCTGGGTCGGGTACCGGGCAGGTGGGAAACCCCTGCTAGATCCGGAAGAAGGATGATTAAAGTCTGTTTAGGGGTAATTGTTTTTTAAATCGAAGGAGAGCTTGTAGGGGAAGCAACTAAATATTATTTATGTATCACAAAATTAAAGACAAATTTTTCAATAAATTTAAAAGGTGCCTACAGCAATAAGACTACGTCAGACTGGTAAAAATGTTAAATTAATTTTAAATTTATTTTTTTCCTTTTAAAAAGGTGTATTTCTAATTTCTCTGGGTATTGGGACACACGTAAATTTGGCAGAACTTTTACAAATGAGTGGGGACTCGGAAATGGTTTTTGATGAACAAACAGAAAATAAATCTGTTGAAAGAGTTGCTTTTAAGAGATTTTTAAAAAGAAAATTATTTTTTTAAATAGTTCACAGATTTATTTAAACGTTTATCTACTGCCGAAGCTTGGTAAGTAAATATAATTGTTTTTAAATGAAAAAATAAACTCACTCGTTAGTAAACACAAGGCAAGAGTTTAAGTTTTTAATTTTTTAGTGAATTTGTACGTGGAGGTAATGGGGCAGATATTCGTTGTGGTTCTTCAGTAATTGAAGTCTTAACAACAACAAAAACAAAATTTAGAGGAATTTTTTATGTACAAGGTCATTGGTTAGAACCTGAATGTATTGGAATGATTGACGAAAATGGAGGAAATGGAACTGAATTAGGTTGGGGAAGAGAGGGAGGGGTGAGGGAGGGTGAGGGGAATGGGAGTGGAGGGGGAGGAAGGGGAGGGAGAAGGGGGGGGGGTGAGGGGCGGGGAGGGTAAGGGAGGTTTAAAGTTTTTCTTTAAGTTTTACGAATTCCGTTGGGGAAATGTGGCTTAGAAAAACAATTTTCTACAAATCCAAAAGGTTATTTCTTTCGTGGTACTGCAATACTTCAATTCCATCCAAACTTTCGAACTGGAACAGACAAAATTTGGAAGGTAAAGGAAGTTTTTTGTTTGTTTGCCTCGCGTACTTTAAAAATTTAAATTGGACGTTAAAATACTTGAAAATACAAATGTTGGAATAAAAATTAAATTTTGGATTCTTAGCTATCTCCAAAAAACTTTTTGTTTAATCGAAGCCCTGTTTTAGAGTCACCAAAAAGAGGCAACCCAAAATAAATTTATTTTTTAACAGATTTTGTGTTTTTATCGAGATCACTCTTCCAATGAACCTGTGCGTAGTGAAGACTCAGAAATTGAATGGCAATTAATTAGAGACCACACACAACGGAAAGATCGTCGTCCCACTCAAATGCCCTGTAGTTATCGTTTACTTGCTGCCGAACATATGGAACAAATGTCCAGGCCACCTTGGGGGAACAATGCGGCAACTGGTGCAGCAGAGTGCCTTACAAGAACGATTCCACTAATTTTGGGACAAAATGTCATTCATAGTTGGGAATGCAATTCTGGTAATTTATAATGTCCCTTTTACAGTCACAGACTTTATTTACAAATGCCCAAAACTAGATAATGTTAATTAAGATGAGTTTTGTAAATTTTGGTTGACCTATGGGTTGGGGGAGCCTGTTTAAGGCGTATCCCTCATTTAAAATATACCTCATTATAAGCTCCAATTTTTCAGCCCCAAGAGTTTATCTTAAATGAAGTGTAATTACCGTAAATGTAATACTAGAAGCCCCATTTTCTATTAGAAGCCTTCTCAAGTAGACTCATTTACTTACATATCTAGGGCTTCCCAGAAAATTAACGATACCCCCCCCCCCCAAACAGAACATTTACAATAGTTTTTAATTTTCTTTTTTTTCCGAAAAGATCATTTCGATGTTTACCAATCATTTTTGATCAATTCATGTTTTTTGGAACCTTCAAAGAATAATGAAATATCAACACAAATGCTGATAGACAAAAATGGGTTTTTAAAATATAAAAAAATTTTCTTTAAAAAAATCCCCCTCCCTTCCCAAATAAAGATGTTCAACAGAGCCAACATTAATAGAAACCCCCCAATATGTAAATCAATTAAAAGCTTTTGCGAGAGGAGTAGCTATAAGAGGTATTGGAAATGAAACAACTTTAAGGTTGCGTTGTAGTCTTAAATTTTGTGATAGATTAATGGGGGAATGTGAAGAAATTTTGGTAAAAAATAAAGAGAAATTTTTTGCAAAAAATTTTTTAAATTTTATAGCCACCAAAATGTGGAAAAGAGGATTTTGAAGTAACAACAACTACTCAAATAAATAGTACAAAAGAAGAAGGAGAAGAAAATAAAAATAATAACGAGAATAATAATACTGTAATTAATAAAAGGAGAAGAAGAAAACAGGTAAAATAGTAAATATGTACTAGGAACAATAAAATAGAGCCAAGTACGAGTACGAGCAAATTTAAAAATTCCAAACACTGGCCCAGAACTCGGAAGCGGAAAAATTATTTCATAATTTCATTAAGTGTGAAAATTCTTTAAAGAAATCATTAGAGGGCCAGCCAAGAAGCCAGAATTTATCACATTTAACGCCGCAGACTTAAATTTTTGAAAGTTCCGAAGCCTCAATTGTAGGTCCCCGAATTTCTGGTCCGCAAATCAGATGCGCAAAATTCGGGTCCGAAATTAATGTGAAATTGTTATTCTTTTAATGGTATTTCATTTTAATTAAATTTTTCTTTAAGTCAGGCTTCCCAGTTTTGATTAGACCGTTAAATGGTGATGGTCCTGCACCTCCTCTAGTTATGTTTACAAGTAAGTTTATTAAAAACCTCTATTTAATAACGCTTTAAAAATACGTTCGTTGAGGGGAGCTATATAAATAACCCCAACATTCAATTTAAAAGCTAAGGGTATAATCCTTAAATGGTGATGATCCCGAACCAGTAGACATGAAAAAGTGGTCTACAAGTGTTTATAGTAGGTATTAAAAATATTTTTAGAATCATCTTCAAAAAGAAGAAGGCCCACACAAATTGACAAAAGAAATTTTATTGTAAAAGACGAATTAATTAAAAATGAAAAAGAAAAAATTGTAAAAAGCTTCGAAACAACAGTTAAAACAACTTTGTTAGAAAATAAAAAACGAAATAGTTTAGAAACAACAATAGAGACAACAACAACAACAGTAACAAAACCTTTAACTACTTCTTTATCAACATCTTTTAATGAATTAATTAAAGATAGGTGAAATTTTAAGTAAAAATGCTTGTTTGTGTTCCTTTTGCCCTACCACTAGGCTGGGAGGAACAGTTGGGAAATTTAATTTTCTAAGGGAGATTCATCAAGAAAAAAATTTTGCATTAAGTGCTTCCATCCTTTGGAACTAACTCTATAATGCCGTGTGCTTGCGTTTTGCTGAAGAAAATAGCATTGAAAAAAATAGAAAAAAAGGGCCGCGAATATAAACTAATGAGAGGATTTATAAATCCCCTCACATCAAGCACACTTTTCTCTTTAAATTTTAGCAAATCAAATATCCAAGAATTAACAACAACATTTCCACCACCTCCGCAATTAATAGAAGAAGATTCAATAATTACTAGACAAACAAAAAATGAAAATAAAAAATTTAATTATAAACGAAATGAAATAATATCAACAGAAGAAGTTACTGGAAAAGCAGATCCATTCCAAGAAGAAAATGATATTGTTCAAAATGAGGGAAATTTAATAAAAGAAGTAAAAGGAAAAAGAATGAAGGAGGAGGGAGGGAAGCTTTTTCTCCTTCATTCTTTCCTACTTTTCTCATCAGGCATAGGGAAGGGGTGTTTTCTCGGTTCCCGGAACTTAAGAAATTGTCAAAATTGGAATCATTAGGAACGCGGAACAATTCGATTTTTGGAACTGGGAAAACTCGAACGGGGATTTTTGGGATATCCGATAATTAATAAAACCATTTAAACATTATGTCAAATTCTTTAGAAATTTCAAAATTTTAGTAAAATATTTTGAAAATTAAGACAAGAAACGTTCAAAAGTTACAAGATTTTTTGACAATAAAAATAGGTAGAATTTAGGTAGAATCAGACAAAAAATATTTCTAAGCGCCCAAACACTTCCCTTAATTGGAGTACAGTCCAAAAGGGCGTGCCCCCTTAAATGTTCTTCTAAATGTTCTTTTAAATTTTTAGGAAATTAATTTGGACCCAGAATTACTAACCGGATTAAATGAAAACGAAATTATTGTAATTTCACAACAAGTAGAAATTGGAGAAACTGAAGAACAAGAAGGAGGAACTAATAATTCTCAATGTAGCAGAAAAAAGAGAACAACAACAACAACAAATATATTAAATGGGGAAGGGAAATTTTATTGAAAAAATAATTTTCTTTAAAAAAGGGGAAAATATTTCTTTTAAACCCATCAGTATTGCATAGAGTTTACATCCCCACGGGAAAAAATGAGATCTGATTATCAATTTTTTTATTAAAATAGAACATTTATTAAAGGGATTTTTTGAAGAAACTAAAATAGGGGGGGGGGGCGTCCAATCTCCAGAAAAAATTTGGAACATAGGCAAAAATTATATATTCTTATAAATTATTTTTTTAAGCTTTTCCTTTATAAATTTATTATATCTATGGTATTTTGTCTAAAATAATAATTTTAAAAAATTGGGAATCGAATCAAAAATTAGGACAAATCATTAAAAAGTTGAGAATTTCCCCAAAAAAGCTATTATTTTTAAATGTTTTGTCCAAAATTTTTTTTTAATTTTACAAAATTATTAAATTAAAAAAAAAGTCAATTAAAAAGGCAAATATTTTTTAAATTTTAATTAATTAAATTAACCACATTTACATTTCTTTCTTTGTTGTTGCCTTCCCCCATTTCTGTCAACAGTTATAGCTCCACTACGCGAGTCATTTCCACCCCCAGGATTTTGAGCAATTGAACGCAATTTTGTATCCAAAACTAATTCTGTTATACATTGAAACATCTAAAAAATTATAAAAAAATAAATTTCGAAAAAATACAAAAAAAAGTAGAAAGTCCCAATGTTTTTTGTACCCAGTAACAATTCGAAATTCTTCGGCTCCAAACCCCAAGAACGCGGTAAATGGCTTCCGGTACAAGGAGATATGGTCAATCAAAGCAAATCTCGATAAGAAGTCTCACTGACTTCTGCAGACATAATAAGAGCTATCGAAATTCAATTGCACAAGAATGTGGTAAAAAGAAAATTAAGAATTTTCAGTAATTTTGTTATTCATTTCCCCCTCAAAATAATTTATATGCAACAAACCTGTTCAACATTTAAATTCTCTTTGGCTGAAGTCTCAAAATAATTAATCTAAAAATTAAAAATATCAAAATTTTTAACAATTAAAAAACCTTAATAGAATCAGCAAAACGTCTTGCATCCACTTCAGAAACGACTCTCCTTGTCGGTTCGTCCAATTTATTCCCTACTATAAATAAAAATTAAAAAATTATTTTTATGAAAAATACCAAGAATTCTTTGGACATTTTCACAATTTGTTTCAATTTCGTGAAGCCAACGTTTTACATTAGCAAAAGAGTCTTGTGTAGTTACATCATAAACAACAACAACTCCATGAGTCCCTTCAAAATAAAAATTAAAAAAAAATATTTTCAGGATAAAAAACCTCTATAATAAGTTGAAGTAATTGTTCTAAATCTTTCTTGTCCAGCTGTGTCCCAAATTTGTAATTTTACTTTGTAACCTTTTACAGTAATTGTCCGGATTTTAAAGTCAACTCCGATTGTGGTAATATAATTTGCTAAAGAAAATTAATTTTATGGAGACTAAATAAAAATGATAAGAAATCCTAGAATTGGTCAACCAAAATAGAAAATCTTTACTGAAAAATAAGAAAATGAGAATGTCCGCAAAAGTTGTCCGCAAATTATAAAAAAATTTTTTAATTCCTACCCAATTTTAAAATTTTTATAAAAGATAAATAAAAATTACCGGAAAATGTATTGTCAGAGAAACGCAATAATAAACTACTTTTGCCAACACCGCTGTCACCAATTATAAGTAACTTAATTTTTAAAAATTATTTTAATTTAAATTAAAAAAAGAAAACCTTGAATAAAAAGTCATAATCTCTCGATGGGGTTGTAGCCTGAGAATTTCTCATATAAAATAGTCTAGAAAAATACCCCTTAAAATTTGTAAGAAATGAGGAAATATAAGGAAAAATGACTCTGTTGCTCTAACGGTTAAGGACGATTCAGTATCGCCGATTCAGTCTCGCCGATTCAGTATCGCCGATTCAGTCTACGCCGATTCAGTATCCGCCGATTCAGTATTCGCCGATTCAGTATAGCCGATTCAGTATTAGTGAACGACATATCTACGTTTTCGTCGATTCGCGGCGAATAACTACTTTTATTCGCGAACGACTATTTTTTAATACAAAACGCCAGAACTACGTTAATATCGATGTTTTACGCCAAACGATTGCGAATCGACTTTTTTGTATCTCTTTTTCTCTAACTTCCCATTATATTTCCTTTCTCTTTTTCTATTAATTTTCATTTTTAACAGTGTATTAACTTTTAATTAATTTAATAAATTTTCAGCCGTTTATCCGAATTTTTTAAAAATTTTAATTTTTAAATATAAAAACTGGCTTAATATAAAACCAAAAAACTGGTTTTTTATTCGTAAATTTTATAGCATTGAATTTTATATAGGATTTTGAGACATTTTGTACTTTCTTGTCTTCCAATTCCTGGAGACATTCCCAAAACCCGAGAAAATATATCTGATTTAGTCAACAAAAATCTTAATTATCTCGGGCTTGACATGTGAAAGATAGTTTTCACAACTGATGAGGGATCTAATGTAAGATAGAAAATCATTTAAAGAAATTGTTAACAAATATTCTGGAAATCACACAGACACAGCAACATAACCTGCAACTTAGAGCCGTTTCAGTGGTACTGAAATAAATAAAAAATTTTCTCTTTTTCTATATCGCTCTATTTTTTTTCGCATGCTATTTCTCCAAAGATTTGATGTATAATTTCGAGAAGCCTTATCTCGGAAAAAAACTTTGAGAAAAAAATTTCAACTTAGCCAAATCGTTAAACAAAGTCTTATCTTTGTTTTAAAACCAAATTTATTGATTTTTAATATGTTTAAAAAAAGTTACATATGGCTTTATAAGTAAATTTAGAAAATGAAAAATAAAGGAAAAAATTGTTTTGAAAAAATTTATTTTAATTTAAAATGACATTAAATGTTAATTAGAAAAGATATTATTAGGATTTCCTTATTATATAATTAATTTTCACTGAAAGGATTCGAACCTCTTGCATTTTTCGCTGCCACTAACCAACTAAACCATACTCCCGCACTGAAACGCTGGTTGCACCCTCTGCCTGTTTTATGTTGCTGTGCACAGAGAGAATGGAACGAATTTTTTCCAAGCAAAATCTTTTTGGAGCTTATATTCAAATTGTTTCAATGTCGGAAGCAGCTTTAACCAAAAGTGGATATTCTTGATCTTTTTTAGAAATCTTTATTTTTATTTTATTCAAAATTCAATTATTAGGTTGATTTTGGTGATGTATTTAATGTTTCTGTTCAAAATGAGCCTATCCAAATTAAAGATGATTGTATATGCTTAATGGATCCTAACACTTCTTTTTTCTTTCGCCCAACTGATTCTGAATATGATTTGCAAGCATGGTTTGATTGGATTCTTGAGAGAACAAGAGAATGTCGAAGTATTAAATTACTCAGGTCTGTATTATATGAAGAATTTTTTAAGGTACTTAATGGGGTTGTTGGCGACCGGTTTTAAAACCGGAATTTTTTAAATTTTTTGCCAAAAATTAACCATTTTTAGAAAATCTTAAAAACCGAAAACCGCGGATACCGGTTAATAACCGGTAAAATAAACCGGTATTTGTCTAAAACTCAAAACCGAAAACCGCGGATACTGGTTAATAACCGGTTGCCAACAACCCTAGTATTTAAATAGTATAAATAATATTTTTTAAGGCTGCATGGGGTGTACAAATTATTTGTAAACCAAAACTTCGTCGTGATTATTCAAAAAGGTTACAACCAGAAATTAAAAACGATGATCTGGCTGAGAAAAGACTAGATTTTGAGATGGAACAGTATGAAACTGGATGTAAGAATTTGAGAGGAGAATTGTAAGAATTTTGAGACTTCTTGTGAACGTATATTTTCCTGTTTTTCT